TCCATTAGAGTTAATTATAATTCAAATGGAGTCAAGTTATCACTCAAAAATAATAATTACAAACCCCTCAAATAAAATTTATAGTCATCGATCAAGGAAATAATTAATCCCTGTTATTGGTAAATTATGACATCAAAAATTTATTTTTTAATATTATAGGGTGTTTTTCATTCCATTTTTAAAGTGACACGTTTTCTTTAGCAATCTAAGGAGGAAGAATCAAAAGTCACAGAGTATGGCCATGGAGAAAAATGAGGCCAAGCGTGTTTGACAAAGTCAAATTGTATGGCCATTAAGAAAAATGAGGCTAACGCGTGTTTAACAGGTTACCGAAGAATTCATTATTTTTATGGTAATTGCAATCTATCGTACCACAAAAATGGTAAAAATAATTACAACAAATACTTATAAAAATATCCATAAAATTAATAAATCATCCATAAAAATTATAAATTTTAGATTAGATCGATAGTAAAGTGAGAATCAATCTTAAAGTATTTGATCTATAATAAAGTAGTACGCAGACAGATGACAAAGACGATCTGCCACGTCTCCTGCTACAAACAAATTACTAGCTAGCACAAAAAGTCTTGGTCAGTAAAGACCAGCTATCCCTGTAATGAGGTCTCCCAGGGCCCAACTAAATTATCCGTGTTATGAAGGAATTGGCCGTATAGAATGTGATATCTACCAAATTGCACCGTCTTTCGAAGACTTTCAAGTTTATTTATAAGATTGTGGTACTAAAATTTATAAAAAAAAATTGGTGCCGTATCATCAATTATCACTTTTATAATTATTTTTATTACTTTTGTGTGATTTTATCACTTTTATTGTAACTTTTTTTTAATAAAATAATTCATAAAGTGATAAAATTTACAGATTGACCAAACTAAATTAAGCATTTCTTTTGCGTTTCCTATTCTTTACTTCCTCATACTTCTGCACTACACCAGACTCAATAAGATAGTTCAAATTTTTTAGATTTGACTTAATGATAATCTTTACCGAGCACTTGGTGCACTTGAAATAGAATCAAAATATCTTGATTTCTAAGTATGTCTCGTCAATTACGTTTTCTTTACACGAATTAAACTTGGTCATTTGTAGATATTGGTTGATTCACACGTTCGCGTGTTGCACGTGTACCATTTTTATAGAATTGATTTCACGTGAGTCTTCATTACATATAATTCTTATTTCTTTTCTTCATAGACTTTTAATTTTTTCAATTATTCTCCAACTATTTTCTAAAATCAATAACAAAACTCACTCTACACTTTCATAGATGTGTTGCACTTTGCAAAGCAAATCTGTATTTTAATGGCTAATTTCCGGTGTTTGTCAAATACACAAGATTCAAAAAAAAAAAATTATAAGATTGTCAAAACAATAGCACAACTCTAAATTATACACATGATAAAACGGAATATTTTGACTTCTTTTTCAAGGGTGTATAGTTAGTAAATTTTGGCTTCCTATTTGGAACAATTTTGTCCTTGTCTCCACTAGATTTGTTGGTTTTAAAACTCTCCCAACAATTTATTTTCATGGTTGTTTAGATATTTATTAACATTCTAAGGTAAAATTTCAAGATATAAGAGCCTATGGTTGGTTCTATTATATGAATCAAAGATAAAATTGAAAATAAAATTTGCAAAATGAACTTATATTTGAATCATTTCGAATTGTAATTTGAGTTTTAATTGCTTTTATTTTGTACCATGTGTGAATTCCATACTTGTTATCATTAAGCAAAGACAACCTTATATACTTTAGCATTTACATATTCCCTTATAAGCCTATTCAATCGTTTTCTCCTATATAGAGAATATTAGCAAAAATCCATACATGTCTTACATTAATAATGTTCATGAATTCTATATCTAAAACATCATTTTATATTATCTTTCATATAAAGCATTGTCTCTACCATGTGCTGAACTACAAAATTTAGAAAGTAAAATTAAAAAGATGAAGTTAAAGGTATTCAAAGTGGTGCCCTTTGGAAACTAACGTAAAAGAATAAGAGTAATCTTATTTATTCCTAAAAATATGACCTAATTTACTGATCTAAAGATGTGACTTTAGTGAAACTATTGAATAATACCAAATTCTGACTATCGAATTTATATAAAAAAAAATTAATTTTCACAAAATGAATTGGAGGAACTGACATGAACGGAAGCAAGTACCAATTTGGTGTTAGCTCAACGAAATCAATCTGGCAAAGACCTGGAGAAAGTAGCCTACCCTATCTTATAGCCACTATCTTGCTTATTCATTGCCCTCACTGAAGGTCACTCAATGTAAAAATTCTTTTTAATCAGTACCGATTGCCAAAATCTTGCTTGGGAAGAACAATATGGTCCAAGTACCCTTTCGATCCACCATGTCTACCTCCTCTCCATACATGGCCGCCTCGATCAAAACCTCTTCCACCATCATCTACACAAATGTTGAAAGCATAACCAGCCAGGTATAAAGTCAAATATCTATAATTTTTGTGTTCTATCCTCCATTTCCATGCAGTTGTGGGTTATTAATAATAAGGAGAGTATTTGTGATCTCATTTGCTATATCCAACTTCAATCAACATTTGATTATGAATTTGGAAGAACACCGTAACATAAGAACTACTACATTCCTGGCGCCAAAACACATCCCAACGTAAGTGGGTAGCTTATAACTATTTTCAAACCTTGTCTCTGTATAAACAACAACATATAGGAAAGAAATGTTGAGCAGATTCTTTCATCACAAAATCAGTCATGTCATATCCTAGATTAACAAACTAAAATGCATCAAAGATCAAAGAAGTCTAAAATCTTCATAAGCAATTAATATATAAAAACCAGAAGTGAGGGCTATCTACTTTCCCGCAGCATGCTTCAAGTCGCATAGAAGAACCCATCTGGTCGGCCAAAAACATTTAAGACGCATGATCTTATGCGAGAACTTGCTCTTTTAATTTCAGAAATAGAAAATTTTCGCTTCCTATGATGGACAAAGATGAAAAGAAGAGAGGTTAGCCCACCGCCTGTCGACGCAAACAAATCAATAACAGCAAGGAACAATGGTCGTTGTCCAGCATAAGCACCGCCTAGATATCCAAACCCCTGTGTAATTGAAAGCACAAGACTTTAAATTAATCCAAAAAAAAATTAATTAGGGGGCGACTGAGAAACCATCATCACATGGTAGATGTTTGTATTGGACTCCTGTAAAAAACAGAAGAAAGTATTTGGTTATGTACTTCATGAATCCTGATAGAAGGCATTGCATACACCTATATAGATCAGAAAAATAAAGAAATTGATAGGACCCCAAAACCATTTAATCCAAAGGACGAAAATGAAAGCAGCGACCAATGTTGTTCAAACATACAAAGCTTCCTAACTATAACTTCAGAAACTCAATAGGACTTTTTCTTGTTCCCAAAACAAACTTGAGATGTAGCTTCCCAAAAATCAAGCTAAGATACAACCCAAGTGGCTTCTTTATTCACTGTAATTCAACTCCTTGAGATCAGCATTAACCATCAAATGAAAAAGCACTCCAGACAAAATCAGTGGGTGAAGAGAATGAATGCCTTTGCTGCACAGAATCATATCAATATGACAATATCTCAATTAATAATGTACAAAGTGTTTTTAATGTCAGCAGGCTCATAATTAATTTGTAACTGGAGATGCAATCAAGGAAAACGTATTTAGATCAACTTGATGACACAGCTAGTGCTTCTTCTCCTTTTTTTTAAAGAATCCCATCATGATCCAAATAAAATATCACATCATGGTGGGCGATAGTAGTGGTGGTAGGAGACGAGGATAGTTGTGGTGGGCGGCAATGACCACGGTGGCGGCGAGGATGGTGGTGGTGGCAGTAGCAGCCGTGATGGTGGTGGTGGTGGCAACAACGACTACGATGATGGTGGCGACGGCGACGACGGTGGTAGCGGCGGTGGTAATGGCAGTGGTGGTGGTTGTAGAGGTAGTGGTGGAACAGTTTCAAACACTATTTTTTTTTAAAGTATTTATGAGAAATAATTTTTAGAATTACTTTTAAAGAGTCATTTCAAATACACCTGTAGGGCTTATTTTTCCTATTAAATTTAGAGTGCTAATATTAGCTGTTAGATTAACGTTAAAGTAAAATTCAAAGCGATCTCAACCGCGAATAGTAAAAGTCATTTTGTTTATCTTTTGAGATTTGAATTATAACCTATTTTATTATATAAACAAGTTATTGTCTGTGCCTTCAAGCACAGAGTAATAAAAAAATGATAAACAATAAACATATTTGTATTCATATCCAAAATCAAATCACAAATATAGAAGAAGGATAAATGAATTTAAGCATTGGTTATAGTGGGAATGAGCGGTGGTGAGCGGCAGTGGCTGTGGTAGGAGACGGTGATGGTTTTGGTGGGTGACAATGACTGTGGTGGCGTACGGTGATGGCGGTGGTGATGACAACGACGACGACGACGACAGTGGTGGTGGTGGCTGGAGTGGTTGCGGCGACAACGGTGGCGGTGGTGGTGGTGATAGTGGTGGCGGCGACAATGGTGGCAGTGACGATGGCGGAAATAGTGATGTGACGATTTCAAACACTATTTTTATTATAAGAAATAATTTTTAAAATATTTTTAAAAAGTCACTTCAAACACACCCTGGAAGGACCTATTTTTCCTATTAAATTTAGGGTACTAGTATTAGTCATTAAATTAATTTTAAAATAAAATTTAAAACGTTTTCAACTGTGAATAACAAAAGTTATTTTTTTTATTTTTGAAATTTGAATTGTAAGTTACTTTATTATATAGATAGATATATAAAACAATATATTTTCATAATTATCACACATGCATATTAGGGATTATAATAACAGATATCAATTGATTAAGTGGTCTTAATTACTCATTTATCCAGTGTTTTATTAACAGTGATAACCAACGTTACTCTCGATTATTATTTCCTAAAACTTGCTTAAGAGTGAGACAACTTAGAGAGAGAGAGAGAGAGCCTTGAGCTTGAAGAACAAGTAGTAGTAGTAGTAAATCACCAATGTTTTCTCTGCATCTCAACTAATCACCCAAAAATGTCTTCTTGGCTCTCGTTCTCTCTCCCTAACCCTTTCCAATCCGACAATCAAAACCCCTTGTCCCCACCGGAAGACACTAAACCTCTCTCACCCAATCACAACCCACCTCCTCACTCCTCCGGCGTGAAGGACGACCTCTCCGTCCTCTCCCAAACCCTCACCCACCACCTCCGCGGCGTCGCCGCCTTCCTCGCACCCCCTCCTCCCTCACATTCCACCACCGCCGCCTCAGATGATGAAAAGGTGTCGTCTTCGCAAACGATTCTCGGAATTAAAAGCGATTTAGTTGAAATTGGGGGTAGTTTCAAGACGGGTATTTCGGTCCTGTCTTCGAATAAGGCTGTGTCTGAGATCTCTCGGTTCGCTTCCAGCTTTTTACCGTTCCAAAATGCAGGCGATGAGGCTGAAAGCGACGAAGACGATGACATGGTTGGAATTGCTGATGAAGTTGTGGACTTTGTAATGCAAATTTCATTGCGGCCTGAGTGTTGGACCGATTTCCCTTTGTCACTACCCAATGGTAATTTTTATTTTTTCTTAATTATATGCATATTTATAATTACTTTCTCATGCCAATTGAATTTAGTCAATTCACTATGTATACAAGTGTGAATCGTCTTGCTTCTACAACTTTACCAGTTTTTGTGCTTTAATTATGGTCTGATTAATATGGGGGGCAGTGTACAATCCTACATTGGGAAAGTAGTTTTGATGAGGTTGTCCTTTAGATTTTTACCTATAAGCTTGTGATTATCTCGAGAATGGCACGACCTTTGTCATGGGAGACTAACTAATGCAACATTTGGTGGTTATGGACTGATTCAACAGTGTTGTGGAGTCTTAAAATACTCTTAAGGCTCTTATTATTTAGTGATTGTAAATTCCATATACCCTTCACAATGAGTCTGCTATACTTGATTGTATTTTAGGACTACACATTGCTTGTCCATTTATCATGTCTTGAAATGGTGTCATTACTTTGCGGCAAAACCTCATTTATTTTGACTTGAAAAAAGGGTCAAAACTAAAATATTTTAAGGTTACTAAAGGCCTCAGTTCAAGTGGTAGATGTAACAACCTTTTACATTAGTTGTACAATGATGTCATAGGTAACTTGATCATAACCTTGATCAACTGGATTTTCTCTTTAGGATTCCCTTGCCCAAGTTCTTGTCCTCACCCCTGCCACTCTCATCCCTAGCATGCTGCATGTAGACACATTCCCTAAACTGATCATTTGTCTTCATAGTGGTTCTTGAACAGTATTTGCATAAGATTCTTGATGGTAGACCTTCCAATCTGGTACCTCCAACCCAAAGCTGCTCCTTTCTCCATTTTTTTGGTAACTAATAACATCATCATAATACAACAGAAAAGAAACAAAATAAAATAATGAGTCGTTTAGAGGTTTTTTGTTAATGGCAGTGTCAGATTGTGTTCTTGATTGTAGCGAATTAATCATATGTAAGTTTTGTGGTTATTGATTTAGTGAATTGGCAATGCTTTGCAGTTATTGACTAGTGAATTGGGAATTCAAGTATTCCATGCAAGCCCTTATGTTTTTTGCAAGTTTGTGCACGTGTTACTATTTAGACCAAAAATGTAATTTCATGAGATCATGACACGTGGCATGACAAATCTAAGTGGTCATAATGTATTTTGGCCTTAAAGCCAAAGAACAAAGAAGCATGAGGCAATAGAAAAAAGGTCGAGCACAACTAAGTAGAAAGCTCGTCCAATGAACGAAACGTAGACATCAGGGGGATACATGGACACTTCAACAGAATAGCCAGATAATGGATAGAGAATACAGAAAAACTTGGCTAGGGGCGAAGCCACACAGGCATATGCGGAGGCAACTATCACTGCTCAAATTTTTTTTTTCCAAAATGATTTTATATAGATTTTAACATATTCTAAGTTTGCCCTCACAAAAATACTCCCGTACATTGTAATCTACTTAATAATCATTTTTTACATTTGGATTTTTATAGTATGAAAACTAGTCAGGAAAAATTATAGATTTAATATTGCTCCATTGCGACCTAGATGACAAGGATTCAACTTGCAGAAATATCCTTTCACCTTTTGGGATAAGTCTGAGTACAATTGATCTTTCCTAGACTTTATAGTAGCGGGAGTCCAGGCATTGGGCCACGTATATGAGTATCTAATGAATTGTCATTATTGAATTAGTGGTGGGTCTCAACATTGAGTGCATTCTATTTGCTAATCAAACCATAGCAATGCATTAAGCATCTAAATTAGGCCCCTAAATTAAGAATAATCAATATTATTGTTGATAAAAAGTGCCCCCACTACGATACATTTTTGGATCCGGATGAGACCATTACCGTTGAAGGAATTGAAAATATGGAACATTGCCACAGTCCGGTCATTATTTAGTGGGAAAGCTATAACCGCTTGAGTCTGAAAGCAACTTGAACGTGGAGGATAGAGTTGATGAATCACGGCAAGACAGTGATCTTCCATCCCTATTGCAGCAGTCCATTTGCAAAAAAGAATCTATTCAGCGGCTTCAACAAACCCATCTGTCTTGTATATACTCATCAAAGATTGGTGGTGCGTACCAAACCTTTTGGAATTTGAGAAAAGATATCAATGTCTGAGTAGTGTCCTTCATTTGTAGAGCAATCATGGCTGCAGCAACTTGTTTGTTGCTATGCTCTTTCACAACCTTCCATTCATGAGCAGGATTTTATCTTTTGTTCCCTGAATGATGTTTAGCAGGATTGGATTACATCTTTGAACACTCTGATCTCCAAAATCATAGGTCAGCTGATAAGTGTTGTGCTTACAGCATAAAAAGTATAGTAATTTGTTGATGCAGAGGTGATGAACACTGCCAACTAGCTTGAAAGTGGCATCCCAAATGCAAAGAAGGAAGCCGCTTCTTTGCATGGTGATAGGCTGCTCATAGGTTTTTTATTCTCTTTTCTTTTTCTTTTTCCCCTTTCCCTTCTTTTTGTTTTGTTGTTATTAAAATGTGGAGATGTATGGCGTTGATTGCTGTACTGGTTGCCTGAATTTTGGCATTTTTTGTTGCAGATTTTAGTATGTCCAACGTTCAGAGAGATCATGCTGCAACTATCGAACATTTGGTGCCTAGTCTTGCAGCTTTGAGGCATAAACTTTGCAATGACTTGAGTGATGAACAATTTTGGATGGTCTACTTTATTTTGTTGCTTCCTAGGTTGAATGAGAATGATTCTAAGCTCCTAGCAACTCCAGAGGCAAGACTCTGTTTCATAGATCTCTTTATCACTCTTTTTTTGTGATCTGCATGCATTGTGAAACCTAAATGCAACCCGCTGTGGCTATTTACTGATTTTAGAATGTACAACTTGTTGGATTGCAAACATTTATGAACTACACTTGCCTGGCACTGCAATGGATAATTTATAGTTTCACAATATAGATGTGGTACAATGATAGCTTCAAGCAATAACACCTATATTGACCCACACCTGATTTTTGTTGTTGATACAAAGGTCAAAAACCACTTCTACCTGATTTTTGGGGATGCTGTCTAATTCAGGACATGACAAAAATGGAGATAAAAGTTTCTGACAAAACAAATTTCCATTATGCAGACCTATATAAATTTGTTAATTGGGTAGGGTGAACAACTGAAACCTTTATTCTGAAAATTACATGCATTGAGATGCAAGGAATCAAAAGAAACAGAAGTGCCATAGTTGAGAGCAAGGTTATCTGGATCGTGTGTTGCTTGGGTACGTGCTATGGATACGGGTACGCAATACGACACTTTCTTAGATATGTGGTACGATGGGAGTAGACTTAGTTGGTAAGTTATTTTGGGTCGCAAATCATTTTAGGACTCTTATCTAGATTGTTTTCACTACTATACAACATTATATGTTACAGAACATCAGTTAAACACTAAGTCAGTTACCATTTATCTGATATTTGTGCTTGATTTTCTAGTATCTAAAACAATATTAAATTATAAATTATAAATCTATATACATGTAGTCAATTAATATGTATTTTATATTTGTGCTATATATTCGAATGCGAATTGATTTAGGGTTAGTATTACAATTTGGAATCGTACATTTTAGTGATCTGGATTACGAACTCACCCCGTTTGGGATCGATGTACCTAGATTGTGGGTCGTCACAGATTTAGTGAATTGTGGTAACCATGGTTGAGAGGAATTGATGCAGGCTTCTAAAGGTTGTCTTAGCACTTAGTTTTCTTGTGCCATGTTAATAAGCTTGTATGATGTGATTTGACGTTAGATTTAAACTGGTGCTTCTATCAATCTTCCCTTGGAAGAATTATAGAAGATAAGAATTGGGAACAATTGACTAAATTTTGTGAGTGTATACACTGTAAGATTTGTTTAAGATGATTATGCTGTTACATTTACTTTTCATCCCAGCAATTGTTGCATTAGCTTGCTTTTGGAACTCTATTTTCTACTTATTGGTGTTAAACCGCTAATCTTTTTGGCTTCAAATTCGTATCACATATTTCCATGCATGGTCCGTAAAAGACTTCAATGTAAAACCCTCTCAGATAAACTTTGTAGATCTCAGATGGCACATTTAATTTATGTCAGAAAAATTTGTCACTCTTCTAGGTAGTTGAAGTCAATAAATTAGGGGATATTGGTGTGTCTATTCTTTGCTTGAGTTAGGTAAATTATATTAACATCACACCTCACAGGAAAATTCATAGGGGGTTACATGCATATCAGTAATTTTGTGTGCGCATTTTTTAGCACATTTCAATCTTTAGTTTACAACCTGTATGATGGCCGCTTGCTTGTCATCCGGAATGCTTACAAGTGATGAAAAAAAGTCATTTGCACGAACCCCTAAGAAGTTGTTTTCTTCTGCTAGATGAAATGGTGTGCCAATTATACCAATAAAAGGGTGAAATTATGCGTAATGTAGTCATGGATGAAAAGATGCATCACATCGATTGATGTCTTAGAAGCTATTGAGTGTTTCTAAATGTATTCAAGGTTATGCTTATCCCAAAATAAAAAGAAAAATTAAAGAAAAAAAAAGAAGAAAAACATGCCTTCAAAGTTACACTTTCTTTGTTTGCTTACCTTTCTGCTATATATTGTGCACACCACTAAAAGGACTATTAGAAAAAGCAGTATGAATAAACCCATCTTATTCGAGAAAGTTTCACGTATTTGTAGATTGTTGAAGCAAGGGAGACACTTTTGCAGAAGTTGCTAAACAAGAAGAACGCAGTGATGAAAGCTTCTGAGAACTCCGAGGCTGTTAATACGTTTCCAGATGGTGGTATAATTTATAGCACACAAGAAGATGAGTGCCCATCTCAGCAAAAGGACGTTTTAGCTGAGGTTGTCAATGCATTACAGGAGACAGAGATTGATGACCATGGGAATACTGAGCAGTGGTTAGAAGATGAAGATGTTGAAACTTGCACATCGGTAGATGCTCGGAAACTGCCTGCAAGTGAGGATGATGTCTCATTTAGTGATTTGGAAGATGATGATAACGATTTTTCAGGGAAACTCTCAAGTTTCAGGCCTGCACAGAGTAATAAGGCTTCTTCACCTGGTGAATGGGTTCAACTCAGGGACGCTCAAGGTGGTTTGCAGAAGGCTGGCCAATCAAGTTCCCAAGAGAGAGATTCTGAAGGAGAGGAGTCAAATGATTGGCTCACTATCGATAATGTAGATTCGGACAGTTATGCTACTGTTTGAATTGTGGTACCTGTAAAGCCACTGCTATTTGTTTCCCCCCCCCCCCCCTAATCTTTTTTAATATTATGGTTCTGTGCAGTGTCAGTGTGTTTTCTTTACTAGTCAATCGAGATGAATTCACATTATAAATCACCTAATATCACTCTGGATTTGGTGGTGGTTAGGTTGTGCTCCCTTTGCTTTTGTGTTAACATTAAATACTGAACAAGCTATGTTATTATCCAATACAAATATTTCAATTTTGACACCATACACGATCAACACTCCAAAAACTGTTACTGTATGGAGGCATCACAGATGACAAAACCTACTCGCTCGGTCTGTCCCCAATCAATTTATAGCCAGCCATCCAATATGGCTTTAATGGAAATCGGATTATATATTCAACTTGGTTTTTTTTTTAATAAATACTAATATTGTCCGAGAATTGAGAAAGATCGAAAAATTTTGTTATCGAAGGATAAATTTTGCTGAAACATTTATAGCATATCTAACCAAACAATGGGCCACAACATTACCAAATCTGCAAATCCATGAAATATCAAAACTAAAAAAACTCCCATCTAAAATCCATTCTCCTTTCTCTTAAAGAGTGTAGAAAGCTAAAATCTCTAGTTATAAATCTGAAATTGAGAGAAAAAGAAAATGTAACCTCAAAATTTGAATTGCAGCAATATATGCAACAGACACTGCATGTGGAATAAATACTCCATTAGTCTATCTACAAAATGAAACGATCTCAGAAATTGGAGTCCATCACTTATAGGTATAATGGAAACTTTGATCAAAAGGTAAAGGACACATCCTTATCATCTTTTAACTTAAAAACAAGGGTTGAAAAAAACTAGAGAGAAATTAGTACACAATCACACAAAAGGACAACTTTATTTTCCTTGAAGACACCAAGTTCAAGAGAAAACAAGAAGCCTCACACAATAATACAAGCTACATACAATATAGAAATACATTCAAAATGCGCAACTAATAAACTATCTCGGCACTTTTTGCTTGTTCACAAGCTTCCATAGTTGTAAGAGTCCCAATATTTTGATTTTTGCAACCAACACTCGAGATTCAGAAGCCTATATGACGTCAAGCGCAAATCATCCCGACTCGAACCATTTCCATGAAACTGTTACATCTTATTTGGCCTTGCCGATATGGGGATCTGTGAGGAATGCACTAGTCATAGACATAATTTTTCGTATTATTATTTACATGGTAGCAACTCTTATACATTCATATTGAGACTATTTGCTTAGACTTTGGAAATTTATTAAGCTATATTGTAATTTTTTATTCTGTTATCAAGAAAAAACATTGGGTATGGCTTGACAAACTGCCAATATTTAAGAATGGACTAATTATTTTGGAATGAGAACCCAATACTTAGTAGCTACTAAAACATTTTCTCTGTCCGATTGGCCTTTGTGGTTTTGATTTCAAAATTGTGATTCACTCATTTAGTTAAAGAAAAAGAGCCTAGGATAATTTTAGAATCTCACAGGGGAAAAGTATATGATACGTCAAAACAAATAAATGTTCGCAACACATACCTCAGACAGTGCAGTTTGTGTTGGCTTGTTTCTTCTACCGTTGTGCCTATGAACATGCTTCTTTGTCCTCCTCCCATTTTTGTTTCCTTGACTTTCAACCAGCCTTACAATCCACTTAGGCCTTCCAGTTGAGAACATAATATATCCCATAGAAAGCCCAAGTACCAATCCACACCCATACCCCATGAACGTCACTTTCCACACGAATCCACTTGGAGACTCTGAAGAATCATCTTGTTGCAGTACCCATTGTGGTGGTGCTCTAGAGTGGCCACATGACTTCGGCAATGGCAATCCACATAGTCCAGAGTTGCCCTCATACGAGTTCTCTATGAATGAATCGAATTGTTTGCCTCGAGGTATGGGCCCTGTTAGTTGGTTGTGCGAAAGGTTTAGGACTTGTAGAAACATCAAACTTGTCAACTGCTGAGGAATCTGTCCATCCAACTTATTTGAAGAGAGATCTAACCATTCAAGTGTTTTCATATCCCCAAGTTGTGTCGGAATATGACCTGTGAGCTTGTTATGAGATAAGTTGAGGCCTCGAACTGAATTTAGCGTTCCAGATATCTTCGGAATCTCCCCTTCAAAGCTGTTCTTTGATAAATCAATGACCGTGAAGGTATTAAGGACTTTCTCCATTTGAATTCTCGATCCTTTGAGTGTTATAGTCACTGAATCATAATAACTATAAGAAGTATTCATGTATGTTTGGCTGAATGTGGTTTCATCGATGTTCCTCATAGCTTTAAAGTTTTTGAAATATTTTGTTGGCAGAGGCCCAATGAAGTCGTTATACGAAATGTCAAAAACTCTCAAATTATGGAAGGGAAATTGGGTCATGAAAGTAATTATAGGCCCGTAGAATCGGTTAGATTGTAAAATAAGAACGTGTAGATATGAAAGACTTTCTAACCAATATGGAAATGTATCCTTTATCTTGTTGTTTCCGAGATCAAGAACTTGTAGCGATCTGCACTTTACTAAAGAATCTGGTACTGGCCCTCTCAATGCATTGTTGTTCAAATTTGCAGTTTCCAAGCTACAGTTCTTTGCAAATGTGTTAGGAATGTTCCCATAAAAGTTGTTCTTCTGGAGATCAAGCACCAAGAGACTCCTGCTTAACTTTCTCAAGCAATGCTTTGTAACACCACTTAAGTTGTTACGAGACAAAATGAGAAATCCAAGAGAATTTGCACCGCAAGAGACTATGCCACTCAAGTTATTTGATGAAAGATCGAGATAAGTAAGGTTCACAAGTTGGAAGATTGAACTTGGAATGTTACCATACAGCTTGTTAGAACCCAAATCAAGGTAGCGCAATGAATTGAATTGGAATTCGTTAATGGGGCCAGTCAATTTGTTATAACTGAGGTCTAAAGATTCCAGTGCTGGTAGGTTAAACATACAAGATGGGATTGCCCCACTGATAAAGTTATGGTCTAGTCTGAGCCCCCTTAAATGTGAAAGCCCATTTACTTGTGAAGGTAGAGTTCCAGATAGTTGATTATATGACAAGTTTAGAACAACGAGTTGTTGTAGTGTTGCGTTGGCAAATAATGATGAGATCTGCCCACTGAAATTATTCGTTCCGAGAGAGGAAATTCTAAGATTTTTCATATTAGGAAAAATAAATGCGATCGGGCCTTCGAAGTGGTTGTCCGAAAGATACAAAACAATGAGCTGCTCAAGGTTTGAAAGTGAAGCTGGAACCTTACCGATGAAATTGTTGCTATCAAGAAACAACAAACTGATTTGTGTCAAGTTCCCTAGTGATGGTGGAATTTGTCCTGACAATCCGCAACTGCCAATATCCAAAACATTTAAGGACTTTAGGTTTCCAATTGAGTCGGGTAATTCTCCAGAGAAATTTATGTTGTAAAGACTTAAGGACTGAAGGGGACTGCTCGAGTTAAATTCTGGAAAATGACCGGTGAGAGCCTTATTAAAACCTATATCTAACTCCTTCAAATTTGGCAGTTGAAATAGCTGATCAGGAACTTCTCCCAGCAATTCACAATCGGAAAGTTCGAGGAATGCTAAAGAAGTTAGATTTAACAAGGGACGTGGTATCACCGAAGAGACGTTTACTTCAAAAAGATTAAGCTCTCGCAGTTGGGTCAAGTTTTGAACAAGCAATTCAAAACCAGCTTTCTCCAATCTCAATTGACTATTCCATGACAAATCAAGTGAAACCAGATTAGATAGTTCCGAAATTTCTAATGGGATTTGGCCTGAGAATCCAGAGGAAGAGAGGTTCAAATTTGTCAATTTGGAAAACCGATCAAATGAATTAGATGGAAATGGAGAGGAAACAAAGTCGTTGTAAGCAAGGTTGAGGCTTTGAATATGAGGAGGGAGAAAGAGGGTGTTGTTGGGATGGATGGTGCCATATAGCCAGCTGCAGCTGAGGTCGAGGCCGATTACATTACCGGTCCTCCAATCACACTCCACCCCATCCCATGAGCAACAATCAGTACCGTTCTTCCAAGATTTGAGTTTTGGATAAGAAGGAATTCCGTAGGCAAGTTCACATACCTGTGAAGCAGATTCATTGAAGGAAAATTGTTTCTTAAACTGGAGCAATGCAAAACTCTGGTCTTGAGGGCAAAGTTGTGCACGAGAAGGAGTTAGTTGGACAAAGGAGAGAATGAAGAAGAAGAGGTGAAAGAGTTGACTGAGATTGAACCATATTGAACAACCCATCTACTAAATTTATGAGAGAGACAATAAGACAGACTATATCAACCGAAACAAAGGCAAATGTCATATAAATAGGAACACTATGCAGGACCACATTTCTTCTTCTCTGTGGCTGAATTACACTAGCACAAAATGTCTTGGTTGCTAATAAAGTCTTCATGGAGTTGTCAAGGAACGACCACGATACTGCTTCCATTACAATTTCGCAGGTGTTAGTCAGGAGTGGCTCAAAATAATTTGAGGCCTTTTTTTATTTTTAATGTTAAAAATTGTGATTAAAATTAATTCTTCTCATTTTTTGAGTCATAAAAGTATAAATTGAGTTTTTATATTTAAATTTTGTTCATATTTTTTTTATTGATAATATCGCTAATCTAAAAGAGAGATTGGAGCATAATCCTTACGATTAGTAATATACTATATAAGAATAGATCTAACACAAGCTTATCTATAAAATTATGTTACTAAAATATTAGATTGTAATGATTGATCTCCTGCAAACTCATTTTTTTTGTAATCTCACCTTCATGGTATCGGTTTCTCATAAAATTAGATTTCTCACTTCTCTCGTCAGTACAACTTAGGCAAATTTGTAGAATTGAGAGGTGTACTTGGGTTCAACAAACACTCAATCAAAGTTCAACCCAAACTTTTTTACTTGTGTAGTATCTGTGTCATTGGCAGATAGGATAAGTCTCTACGGTATCAAAAACAAAAAAACAAAAAAATTCGGTACAGTAT